TTTTTTTTTTTTTTTTTTTTTTTTTTTTTTTTTTTTTTTTTTTTTTTTTTTTTTTTTTTTTTTTTTTTTTTTTCACTAACTTTTTCTTTAAATCTTGCGAGTTCTGTGAATCTCTGGGCTAAGGAATGAATGTTTCTTACTGCAGCGCGAGCGGTCGTTTTTGTATTCCGTCGTGACGCTCAGAATTTGGAACCGCTGGTGTGGTTTGATTCTTAGATTATTGTTCTAGGATTCTGTTTCCTATAACAAGTTTAATGTTTCGCTTGTTTGTCTTGAATAGATTCTCCGACATATCTTGCTTGACATGCCAAGCCTTGCCTTCTTCACAACTTATGCTCTATTGGTTTTGTTTTGGGCAGAGATTTACTACCAGGTGGACATTTTATTTTGGATTTGTAATGTTTCTTTTGCAAATATGATAAATCTTTCTGCATACACCTTACAAAAGACTTTTCTCAGGCACGTGCTGTATCGACTGACGGGTTGAGACCAACTTTCTTTACAGTAAATGCAGTTGTCTATGTAATTCAGGTGACACTCATTGCTTTATCTCATGAAGATTGTCAAAATTGGAAGCGTTCATATATATATTTTCTATTTTTTTGCAATGCTGAGAAGAAAAATAATCTTTGTGCAAGGTGTTTACTCTTCCAGAATTAATTAATGGTTAATTTTGTTCATCTCTTTCTTCTTCCACATTTTTTTATTCATTAGTTTGTAGCCAGCATGTTTTTTTTAAATAAGACTACAGTTAATAAATAAGGCCTAAATCCAAATCAAATATTTTCTCTCTTGTGGCACTAAGACCCTGACTCAGTCATTCTCTAAACGAAGGACTAAGGGGATTGTGCATGATAAAAATGCTCGCAATTCAAGGAAGCACACGCAAAGATTGGTTTAGACACCCTTTACCATTCTTTCTTCACTACCTATAAAGACAATATAAATATGAGACGAAATGGGCTGCTTGTATGTGCACAAGCTAGCCTATTTATAGGAGAGCATCTCTCCTTATAGTTACGCCCTCCACTTGTTTGTTTAAAGGCCTTCAACAAGCCAATTACCCACTACCAATGTTCTTACCTTACTTAAGTCTCATTGTGGTATTTGTAGTAACTGCCCAAGGCATGTTGATTTCACTCACCCAGTCTATGTGGTCTTGAATCACTAAATATGGGAAGCACCTAAATGACGAAGGTTATATTTCTGCTATAAAGAAAACTATCCATAATTACCCCTTGCACCATGTTGGTGGGGTGTAACCCTTCGTAGCTACCACTAAGCCTATGCATATTTCGGTGGCCAACGTTTTGACGAAGCACTTTTGAACTCCAATTGGTATATTCTCGTCACTGGCTGTTAGCATCTAAGCCTATGCATATTTTGGTGGCCAATCTTGGCTTAGCATTTGGCTTTGTATCTAGTACCTAATTGCTGCATTATCAGTGTGTACTGCAACTCTAGCCCCAAACAAATACCTGCGTTTTTCAAATGCAGATACTACAGCCAATATCTCCTTCTCAGTAGTGGTGTAATTAACTTGAGTCTCATTTATTGTTCAGATCCTCAGTACCGATAGTATATAGGGTGCAAGATCATTCCCTTCTTTTGCCCCAACATTGCACCCACAACATGATCACTGACATCACACATTAGATCAAATGGTATCTCACAGTCAGGTGTAGGCATTATTGGTGTTGAGATTATGTTGTTTTTCAGTGCTTGAAATGCTGTTGAACCCTTAGTTTTCGGTGCTTGAAATGCTGTTAAACACTTATTCTCAAATTAAAATCTTCTGTTTGCTTCTAGCAAGTTGCACAATGGTTTTGAAATTTTTGAGAAGTTTTTAATGAACCTCCTGTAGAATTCTGCGTGTCCTACAAAACTTCTCATGTCCTATGAAACTTCTCACACTCGTCACAGAAATTGGGGATTCCAATCTTTCAAATAACTTCAACGTTAGCTCTGTCCACTTCAATGCGTATCTTAGATATTTTGTGCCTCAACATTGTTCCCTCGTTGGCCATGAAGTGATTTTTCCCCAATTCAATACCAGATTTATTTGCTCAAATCTCCTAGGCACTCTTCCTAGGTTGGTCAGGCAGTTCTCAAATGATTCCTGGAACAATAAGAAATCATCCACGAATACTTCTATGTAGGTTTCTATCATGTCTGCGAAGATCGCTAACATACACCTCTGAAAAGCTGTAGGGGTATTGCCCGAGCCAAAGGGCATCCTTCGAAAAGCAAATATTTCATAAGGTCATGTTGGCACTAGCATAAGCTCTCTTGGTACTCTTCATTTTCTTCCTTCCGAATTTCTCTCTTTCTTTCCGCAAATCAATTATCCTTTCCCAAGGTGGCTCTCTTCCTTCCACAAATCAGCTGGTCCTTTAAATAGACCTCTCTCCCATAAAATTCATGGCTGAGTGGATTATTTGTTTCCACCTGGATGGTTTTCCATTGGTCTGTGTGTCGAACATCTTGTTTGCTGATGTCAATAATACTCTGCGCGTGCAAGTTATGCAAAACTTGTCCAGTTAATGTTCCAGCAAGGTCATCCAACATCCATTATCTCTGCTTGCTGCAATGAACATAAGAACCAATTACACAATTCTTTATCAAAATAACACAACATTCATAATATTTAGCTTTCGATACCATAGAAATTTGTCATAATCCAGTGTTAATTTAGCACAAGATTCACCAAAGATTCAGAGTATGGACCAAAACAGTAAATGAATTCGTCTTTTTCATAAAAGAAATGTGGGTATTGGGGTGTTAGCTTCTGCTGGCATTTTCAAATAACAATATCAGCAATGCCATTAAATTAATTCTTTCATTTGATTCGTAATACCAGTTATATTAATTACATAATCTAGTGAATACAACCGAGCATAATAAGTCCATGGGCTTGTTGGATGATAAGGCAGATCATTTACCCAATGTGTAACTAACTATATGTTGCATGCGTGTTGGCCGTCTTTTGTATTCTGCCTACTACGTTGATCATTATCCTAGTTGATATCAACATGTTTCCCAATTAATATTCATTTTTTTCTAAAACTTTGATCGAAATAATTGCAGATTGTTTTGTGGCTGATATTGTGGTGGAATCCTGTTCATGTACTGGCCATCCTTTCTAAGATGTTCTTTGCCAGTGTCTCTTTGTTCGCTGCCCTTGGCTTTCTTATTTATGGGGGAAGGTAATATTAGTGTCTGCTTTGTTTTCTCTGTTTCTTTATGATTATAGATATATTTAAATAATCCTTTTTTCAGCTGTGGAGAAGTAGGCAAAACACGTATATGTTTATTGCTCGTTTCATATATATCTGTACCTGTGAACATCCTGCACTTCTAAACGTGTCTTGTGTTTCTTTAATTGGGCAGTAATGTTGTTAATTGCTGCTTTAGTTTAAAGATTTATGTGCCAGATGTGGTATTTAGCTTAGGGAAGCTGCATAGGCTAGAGTAGAAATCTGTGAGATTCAATGCTCACAGGGGAGTGGATTGCGAGATCCCACACTGGTTGGAGAGGAGAATGAAGCATTCTTTAAAAGGGCGTGGAAACCTCTCCCTAGCAGACGCATTTTAGAAACCTTGAGGGAAAGCCTAAAGAGGACAATATGTGCTGGTGGTGGGTTAGGATGTTACAAAATCCATTTGCCTATAGATTTAATAATGGTGGAATATAAATTTTCTGCTCAGTGATCCCCATTTAAGTTAATTCTTCCAGTTGTCGAAGAATTTCAGTTCTTTTGATGTTGCTCAACTGGTCATTGAGATTTGAGGTCTTGAGAGACAACTCTTATAAATTCTGCAAAGTTAATGAAGGCAAGACCTTGGTTATTCCTTTTTGGGTGCGTGTGAGAGATTAGAAACTATTTTATTCATGAAAAATGATATATGAATAGAACATAGGCCAAAGGAACAAGGCAGCCACAACGAAGTTAAGACAAAAGGCTCCTGTCATATAGAATTTAATTCAGGAAACATTTATTATGATTGGAACCAAGAACGGGGCGGAGGGATTGAAGGTTGAGCCATTCTTCAATTATCATCCCAGACCTCCTCTACATCTTAGTTATGAGTTGGTTATCTATTTTTCTCCCTGGAACTCTCAGTTAAACGTGGATGGAAAAAAAAAATTTCCCCTCAAAGTAGTTTCAAGGATGGGTCTGGGGTACATAATGTATTATTTTCTTTTGCCCCAGTCTCTACCTTAAAGTTATTTAATATTTACAGCTCATGGCTTTTGGTTATGGTTAGAAAGTTAATCATAAATAAGTTGGCATGCTCGATAAGATTTTATGAAATTAATATTTAAAAATGATGAATAAGTTAGAATTTTTTTTCTATATATTTTGTACATATCTATTAATATTTTAATTGTAAAACAGTAATTAAAAATATTTAAATTATTTAGCTATTTTAAAAACTCTTAATACATGTCACATTAATAACTAAAACCTCATAAAACACAATAATCAAACATCCACAAGCCACAACCCGTCCCCAACCTATGTTACAAATTTCAAATGGACTTGATCTTCTTATGAATCCTAGAAAGGAAAAAAAAAATTATAAGTACACGAATTCTTCAATTGGCATTCAAACAAACATACATCAATCCATAATCATTCAAACAAATATACATCAATCCATAATCATTCAAACAAACATACAAGCTCATCAATATAATTACACAAACTAAATTATTAAACCTCTAGCTCTATTAGATTTGCATAACTGTAATTGGTCCAAAATGTCTAGCACCATGATTGAACATTAGGATAAGTCCTGAAAATTCAAAAACAATTAAATAATTAGTTTAAGGATGACTTGAAAAAAAAACTACCATGAAAATATTTTACTTACAATGAAAACTCTTGATCCAATAAGACTTATTTATGCACGGTCATGATGAAAGAAAATTATTTGGAAAAATAAGAGAGAATATAAAATGTGATATAGTAATACATAATAGATTGCAACAAATAGATAATAAAGAAGTTGGAGTTACCTGTCTCAATTTTAGTCAAGCCTCTAATTCTTCAAGAAGCTTTGAAGGGTCTAATAACACTTATTTGCCACCAATTTTGTGTACATATCAAAGTCTTTGATGTTTTAGTTGTCAAAGAATTCCTATAAGAATCAAGAATTCTTCCTTCCATATTAAATGTTGATACAGACGCTACGGTAGACACCAAAATTCCCAAAACATCTTGGACAATCTTTTTTTATAAAATTCGGTATTTAAAGCCATTCCGTTTCCATGAAGCCAAAACATCCAAATTATATTATATTCCTCACTCAGGTCAAAAAAATACTGATCCACATCATTCTTCAATTCAAATGATTTTTTCTTCCCTTGCAACACAATATACTAATACTGAACCACTTGCACTCGAGTTCACCTCCCTTGAAGCTTTCATACTCATGGAAATAATACTTGATTCTGATGGTTGATAATCACTACGAGAACTTTGAGTCTCATCATAAAACTTGTAAAATTCATACAAATGAACCAAATTTCTCCGGGTATTATCAATCATCTCTTTAACCATATCATCCTGATAAATATTTGAAAAGAAAAAGGATACATAATTCAAATTCTAAGGGAACCAATTAACACATCCCTAAATATCATCGTATTGATTTGAGTTGATTTTGCCAATATAACTCTAATACTTGTCTTTGTCTTCACATTTGAAGTTTTGATACTTAGACTAGAGTTCACATTCGTTCTTCAATCAATTAAAAGTTCTTGAATAAAGAATTAAAAGTCATGGAAGTGCTTCCTATTCGAGTTGGGTTGAACTGACTAAAGAAACCACACCTCATGAAACTAACCAAATTTCTGGCTTTCCAAAAATCTAACCCAACTTTTATGCTTTAGGTTGGGTAGTTCAGGTTATTGAGTCATTTGAACACCCCTAAAACTAATGAAACTTAATTCAATGACTAATGAAGATATAACAATATGGTTTGTAACATTTTCAAAATTTTAGGAGTAATTTCCCTGAATGAAAATTCAAGGTGCAAGTATTAATACTTTTAGTTTAGGAGTGGTTTCTTTTTTGCCAAAAACTAACGAAGAGGTGAGGAAGGATAACTTTTCTCATCATATGATAACCCTTTATGCAGAATCAACCATTTGATATTCAGTATTTTTCACTTATTATTATTGTCTTTTTGGCTTTTCTCTTTCCGTAATTTTACTATGACATACGTGGCTGTCTGGCAAATTTGGAAATTTCCTGTCCGTGAGATTACATGTAATTTGCTAATGGTTTCTTTAATCATCTTTGGGTAGATTGTTCTTGATGTTACAGCGCTTCCCTGTGGAATCCAAAGGAAGACGGAAGAAGTTGCAAGAGGTACTAATATTCAAAGATAAGGATGTTGTTATAGGCATCTTTTTAGAAGTTTGAGTCTTTCTTTCCTGTAGTTTTTTCCCCTAATTTTTTCTTGTTTTGGGGGTGACAGGTCGGCTATGTGACGACTATATGTTTTTCATGTTTCCTAATCAGATGCATCATGGTGAGTCTACTTCTGTCCAATGTAGTTATGCAGTGCCAATAGCAGTGACTGTATATAACTTGCGAATGTAACCTTTCAGTTTCTTGTCACTGTTTAATATCACTGCGTTATAGCCATATTTCCTTATCGTTTTAGTATGTTACTTTACAATTGGTTTCTGAAAGATGATTCTCACCTCGAAGAAGCATCAACGATCGAATTTTTTGAGTTATTTGTGACAAGTTTAAGTCGTTGGAAAACTAATTTGTGATGTAGGTACTAAATATGATAATTAGATTTTGTTACTTGATGAGCATGAGAGTTTGCATAGAAAGATATTGTAATAAATAAGATATGAAGACAGTTAACTCTAGGATAGTTGTATCAACCGTTAGCAGTATATGTTCTTCTGTACCAGTAACACAGCCTGGCCCGGGTATAACAAGGAACTGTCGATGCCTTCCACAAGGATTGAGGATAATTTAATAAAGTTACATAGAAGACTTATTATTATTTTTCTTTTATTGATTCTCTTATTATTGTAGTTATTACTACACTTTAAATAAACAGCGTATAGTTTTGCCATTCAATTGCTCTATATTCATCTTAATCCTGGCTTAATTTATTATCTTGTGCTGTAGATGTGTTTTAATGCTTTTGATCAAGCTGCTGACCTCGACGTTTTGGATCATCCGGTTCTAAATTTTATATACTACATGGTAAACTCTGGATTGTGGATTTTGAATGCATTTTGTCTATATGATATTTCACTTGTGGTTGTTTGTTTTACTGGAATCTTTAATGTCTTGGGGTATTCTAATCAATATGATGAATTTCCAGCAATCAGTTCGAGTATTAGTATGGTTATGCTTCTTGGGAGTCGTTAATTCTGTTAAGCTAAATTGATGTTACTTCATCTTTTCATTAAAGTTTAAGCCTTACCCTTAAAGTTTATTCTTCCTTTAAATGATGTGGGGTTATTCTTTGTACAATTTATGTGATTCTTGTTCCATTGTATTTTCTACTTTTATCTTGTTCTGAAAAATGTGCCATGTCGTTTGCTCGTTTTTCCATCTCTGCAGTTGGTTGAGATTTTACCTTCTTCTCTGGTCCTCTTCATTCTGAGAAAGCTGCCCCCGAAACGAGGAATCACGCAGTACCATCCTATCCGTTAAGGGCCGATTAAGAACAAGAAAGTCGGACCAAGGGGTTTCAACAAGGTGTGTGCATAACAAAGTGAAAAGTTTGGAATGAGGTGCTGAGTTTAAGGCACCTGATCCCTAAAGAAACATGGCAGAGGCATTTTGAGTTCTGTGGGTTTTGTTATTCAAAGTTAGGAAATTTGTTTGAATAGAATTCAACTGCTACAGACTGAAGTTATAGTGAGGATGGTGTTGGTGTTCCGTGTGATTTATCTAACCTTACTCACTGTATTTCTTGTGGTTGCCATTTTGGTTCAGTGACAAGAGATACAGTGACATTTCTAAACACATCCTGTATTTATAACCCGCTAACTGTTGCTGAATTCTGTATTGTTTTATTTATTTATTTCTGACAGAAGCCATTGGAGGAGGAATTCGAGCCTATTGACATCTTTAAACTCGGTTTTTATTTATTTATTTCAACAATGGTAATGGTAGAGTTTGAGTTTGAGGTTCGAAGCTTCATAGGCAAGTGGTGCCTTGAATGTTGAGTTATTTTCAGGTTGGTAGTCGGTAGAACTTGAAAGTAGAGTGTTCATTTAGATTTTAGTACATTGACATCACAGATAAATGATTCATGGTCTCACATAACATATTGTTTCAAGGGAAAGGGGCTTTTGTCTAGGGGTTACTATGCAAATAGGTGGTAGAGGCGGAAAAGTGTTCGTTTGAGAACACTGTACTCAAGTTTTTAAACTTCATGTAAGTGGCTACGAACGATTGTCACCTGTGGGGGGCGTGGCCAAGAAGCAGTCAGCTAGCTGCCCCCTTCCATTCGGCCTTTATTCGTGGTGTGAATTAGGTCTTAGAATATGGTCATTACGGGCGACTTGCAAGAAGTCGTTGGTCGAAGAGACTTTATTATCTTTTAAATCAAATGAGATGGTGGAAAAAAATGATTTGAGATTACTTAATCATATTTTGATCGATATCAATGAACTCGTATATTCTATAGTTTTTCTTGATATGATATTATTTTCATTTGTTTGTTGATTTTTTTTTTTTTTTTTTTTTT